CCCCCCCCTCGCACCCCTCCCCCCTCGCACCCCTCCCCCCTCGCACCCCTCCCCCCTCGCACCCCTCCCCCCTCGCACCCCTCCCCCCTCGCACCCCTCCCCCCTCGCCCCCTCCCCCTCGCACCCCTCCCCCCTCGCACCCCTCCCCCCTCGCACCCCTCCCCCCTCGCACCCCTCCCCCCTCGCACCCCTCCCCCCTCGCACCGCTCTTCCAGGGACTCCGCTGCATGACGCTGCCAGGCAGGAGCATTGGCACGCAGTAGAGTGGCTGGCGCAGCAGGGGATGGATCCCCACACGGTGAAGCAGCCCAAAAATTTCCCTGACTTTCTCATGTCAAGGATGCTAGAAACAGTGAAGGCGGAATGGCAGAGAATGATGGACGAAGTTACACGGAATATTGGCAGCTTAGGCATACACCGGTAGTGGGACATTGTGGACCTTGTTTTTATTAGGGATGCTTTGCAGAACAGGGTCAGCTCAAGGCTGTGAAATCAGAGGTTTTCTATCTAGTACGTATGTAGGTGTATTGGTATACTTACGGTATATCTTTTGTATGTGTACACTATGTCAGTTACTCCTTTATCGATACGCACCCGTGCACCCCATTCACTTCTGTCGAAGCAATCTGATGATGATCCCCTTCCCTTCCCATTCCCAGCCCCTATCTGCTTCATCACCCACCCATCCAGAGGGCGCCTGCCCTCAAACCTCCCTTGAAGGCGGCGTGCGTGGAGGTGCGTCAGCCCCACATCATGCCCTGCGATCCGCGCGCAGTCTTTGCTGCGCCCGCAATTTCGGCCTCGTGCATGGCGTCGTGTTGCCTAGATGCTTCACGCCCTCAGCCTGAGATGACTGGTCAAGGCTCCAGTGGGACGGTACGTCCTGTGTGACTCGGTGGACCGTTCAGCGCAGCGGGAAGTGGTGACCGACCATACACGCCCACCGATGGTCGCTTCGCGCCCAGGAACGACCAGCATAACACACCCGTCACCTCGTGCCGTTTCTCTCGAGCAATTCAGACGAGCCTCACCGACGGTGCTTGCAGCAGCCAGCGAGTAGCGTCCGACGAAGAATAGCAGTGCGTTCGTCGTCGATGATTGCGGCGAGTCCCGATCAGATGGTCTCTCCATCTGCCGGCGAAAGTGTCGCAGCACAGAGAAGACGGCAGGTGCACGCCGATGGCCGACCTGCATCGCAAATTCGCGAGCCTTGGTTTTGACGACGCCACAGCGCATGATCATAGTTTTGAGGCCCTTAAAATTGAGTCCCATGAAGCACCAGTAGCAGGCGATGATGGCGTTGACGATCTTTCCGATCGCCTCTCGCGTGTCGTTTGTGAGGCGACGACAGAGCAGCAGCAGCTCGACGCCATCGCGTCGACTCTGTTCGCCGCCAACGCGATGTGCTTCTGGCCCGACTCGGACGCGCACAGGCCGGGAAGGGCGTTCGGCTTCCGCGTCCTCCGCACCCTGCCGTCCACCGCGGAGTCGTTGGAGATGCGCGGTGAGTTGGGGGGTGGTCGAGCAGCGGGCGGGCGAGCAGGGAGTGGGCAGTCGTGGGGGAAATTTGGAGGCAATGAGCGTGAGGGAGGGTGTTAGTGTGTGCGACGTGGCAAGGCAAGGCTGGCTGGCGTTTAGGATGCTTCAAGCCAACGTGCGCTCAGCGAAGCTGGGCTCTTCGGCAGCCATGGCTCTCCTCCATACGCTCGCGCCGCCCCCTGCCCACCCCCATACGCCCTCCCCTCCTATACCCTTCCCACCCACCCCCTTCCCCCTCATCCCGTTTTCTCCCATCACCTCCCTCCCATGCACACCGCCCTTCCCCACCTGTATACCACCCACTCCATGCCAACAGGAGCATTCTTCCTGATGGAGCGCAGCAGCAGGCGAGCCCCCCCCACGGACTGGGAGAGCTTCGGCGTGGAGAAGACCTACACGGCAAGGAGCGTGACGGTGACTGTGCCGCCCCACGTGCTGCCGTGGCTCTCTGCCAGTGCAGCTGCCACACTACAGCACGGCTGTGTTGCCACCCACCTGGGCGTGCACTCCACTCGAACCAAGTCCCAAGGCACCCGCCCCCCCAGCTGGGTATGCCATGCCCGTTCCTCCTCGCTGTGCCCCTCCCTCGCTGTCGCCGCTGTATTCTATCCCGCTTCCCTCATCCCGCCAATCGCCGAATCCTTCCACATTTTGAAGTGATAGTGAATCTGTTTTGAGACGTCTTAGAAAGAACCTATTTGTTCCCCCTCCCTCATCTACCATATCTCCCTTCCATGCCTCCCTTACCCTTCCTTCGGTTGGATGACCAACAAAGCTGTCAACCTCTCGTTCCCCCCTTCCGCCTTCTCTCGAACGCTACTCCGCCCATCACAGAGGCCCCGCACGGAGCAGCAGCTGGGCGAGGAGCAGCCACAGCAGGTGAGCGTGTGCACACGGTGGGGAGGAGGGGAATGTGTGTATCTTGCGTGTGCAACCATTCCTGCCTCCTGTTCAAACTGCCCCCTCAAGCTACTTGTGTCTTCTTCCTCCTCATCATCCCTTGTCATTTGCCACCTTCAACTTCCGTTTCTCTATTCCCTGACTGTCACCCCCTCTCGTGTGACACATCCCATTCCATCCACGCCATCCATCGCTCGCCCTGCCAGCTGCCCTCTCTCAAGGCGTGGGAGTATTACCTCTGTGAGCTGCTCCCGCTCAGCCGCCGATCCACGCTGCTGCAAACACCATCAGAGCCATGGCAGCAGCGCGTGACGGCGCAGCCAGAGCAGCACGCACAGCCCCAGCCACCATCACCGTCCCCGCCCTCACTGCCGGCACACAAGAGCCCACAGTCATCCGTGCACTTTCACCCACTCACTCTCGTCTACATCGGCGATTCAAAGCTGCCGCCACCCCACCGCCCTCCTGCTGCGCCTGCCACTGCACCCGCTCCCTCCTGTTCTGCTGCCGTTGCTCTATCGCCCACTGCTGCATCTGCTGACTCGGACACCACGTCCGCTCGTGCCTCGCCGTGCCAGCTGCCATCACCCCCTTGTGGTAGCAACACCGCCGGCTCCTCCTCTCAGCTCTCTGCTTCACCCACAGTACCCTTCTCCCCGGCACCCCTCATTGTGCCCACCCGAGTCGCAGCACCTCTTCCTACCGCACCCTCCTCCTCGCCTCCCCCGTGCTCTGCACCTCGCCCTTGCTCTTCAAGGCTTGTCGACATAATGCTTATGAGGGACATCATATCATTAGTGTCTCAAAGACCGTCACTGAATGTGGCGAAAGAGGCGAGCAGGAACCTGCAAGTGTGCCCGGATTGGCCGATACAGATGCGCCTGGACTGTCGGATGCAGATGTGGAGGAGCTGAATGGCATGTTGAAGAGATGGGGTGTTGATGTTGACGCGAGGCACTTGGATGGCATTGTGGATGGGTTTGGAAGCACTGCGCTTCACGTTGCTGCTCGCGACGGGGATGTACTTGTGGTGGGTTTACTCTGGCTCTCTTGACTTATCCTTTCTTCTCTTCCTCTTCCTTCTTTCTCCTCTCCTTCCGCCTCAACCTGCCTTTTGTCCTCCCTCCCCCCCCCGCCCCCTCTCTCTTCTATGGCTCTCCTCTCCGTCACTTTCTGTGGTTCACAAAACAGTTTGCTACCGTCCTTTGCCCCTATGCCCTGCCCATTTTCTCCTTTTCTTTCTGCATGTCCCTACCTGCATGATGCATTTCCCACCATCACTCTGCCACCATCACTCTGCCACCATCACTCTGCCACCATCACTCTGCCACCATCACTCTGCCACCATCACTCTGCCACCATCACTCTGCCACCATCACTCTGCCACCATCACTCTGCCACCATCACTCTGCCACCATCACTCTGCCACCATCACTCTGCCACCATCACTCTGCCACCATCACTCTGCCACCATCACACTGCTGCAGCGCGTTTCCACTCGCCCACCTTTCCTCTGCTTCGCTGCGCCCCAGGCCATCTGCCCACCACACATCGCCAGCTGCATTTGCCGCTGCAATCACTCTCCCCCATTTGCCTCCAGGCCTGAGCTAAAACAGTCAGTGCACATCTTTTCAGGTACAAGAATGGACGAGATCCGCTACAAGGTACTCATGCGCATGACCGAGCAGAATAAAGAGTGCTTCTTACTGCGTCTTCCTATCCACCTCCCTCCCCCTTTCTCCCTGTCATGTCACTGCAGGTGGAGGCGCTATTGGCGCTGGGCATGCCGGCAGGAGTGCGCACGCACAACGGCAGCACACCCATGCACCGAGCAGCGTGGGGTGGGCATGTGCCGTGCATGCAAGTGCTGAAACGCTACGGTGCCGACATCCTTGCTAAGACTGACTATGAGTGTGAGTGACAGGGAAACGCCCGTTGTTGTCCCCTACTGACTCCCGCTCTGCAGTATCATGCGCCGTGCAGCTACTGCAGAGCGGTAAACACCCATTGTTGCCCCTCACTGCATCCCTCCCCTCTCCTCCACTATACCACTCTTCCCCTTGTTCCTCCCCTGCACTTCTCCTCCCCTGCACTTCTCCTCCCCTGCACTTCTCCTCCCCTGCACTTCTCCTCCCCTGCACTTCTCCTCCCCTGCACTTCTCCTCCCCTGCACTTCTCCTCCCCTGCACTTCTCCTCCCCTGCACTTCTCCTCCCCTGCACTTCTCCTCCCCTGCACTTCTCCTCCCCTGCACTTCTCCTCCCCTGCACTTCTCCTCCCCTGCACTTCTCCCCTGCACTTCTCCTCCCCTGCACTTCTCCTCCCCTGCACTTCTCCTCCCCTGCACTTCTCCTCCCTTGCACTTCTCCTCGCTTGCACCGCGCCTCCAGGGACTCCGCTGCACAATGCAGCCAGGCAGCAGCAGTGGGATGCAGTGGAGTGGTTGGCGCAGCAGGGGATAGATCCCCAGACGTTGAAGCAGCCAAACAAGCAGCCTGACCATCTCTTGGCAAGGGCGCTGCAAATAGTGGAGGAGGAATGGTGTACCCTATTCCCCCAGATAGAAGACCTCTTGCAATCGAAGACCGCCGGGTAGCAGTGCTCTAGACTGGATTTTGGCGACTTTGGACAAACAGGGTGTACCCTGGCTACGTGGAAGCACGTTAGGGTGGAAAAATAAGTTCCACCAGGTTTTGTAATGTTTTTTTCCTGTTTTCACTATGGGTGTTACGTTTTGCACCAAACTATAAAATCAGTATACCGTGATCCCCCGGGTAAAACGCTCAAATCATCCAAAAAAACGGGTGTGGCCTGAATCCGACTCAAATCGTGACTTTTGGGGTTGAGGGCTGTGCCGCAAGTGTGTTACCCTGTTGGAAGGCACTTGTGAAGTTTATGAATTTTTGTTTCGAAAGTTGGTCCGGGTGTACAACATTGATTTCGTTGCGCTTATCGGTTCCCCTCTCTCCGGTGCGCATCACCGTCCGAGCAACCTCCCACCTCCTCGGGAACCTCCTTGTGATCTGGTCGCCAAGGAGTTCCCCATTAAGTGCATGGTGGCACATGCCTATCGGGGTGCATAGACTGTCCTTCCCTTGTACCTCCTCGTGACGAATGAAACCCGTGAGCAGATGTCGCATCGCAGCAAACCATCATGCCGACCTTCATCAGGAGCATCTCGCGCAAAATCCGGCGCACATGGAAGACTGCGCCGACGTCGCACCACAGCGCGCTATCATGCGAGTCGTGCCCATGTGCGCTGCATCCCATCGTTCCGCGCGCAATCTTTCATCGCCGAATCTCGGCGGCGAGCATGGCGTTGTGTTGCGTGCCTGCTTGCAGCCGCTCAGCCTGGGCTGGGATTGGCCAATGCTGGAGGTCGCGATGGGATGGGACGTCCCTGTGAGCGGTACCGTGGCGCAGCGGGAGATGGTGAGCGCCATACCCGCCAGCCAAAGGACTCGTGGCGGCAAGGAATCACCAGTTTAATGCCCGTCAGCGCGCGTCATTGTTCTCCAGCGATTCGATTACCCTGGTACTCTACCGTTGCTGCAGACTGGCAGTGCTTTCCCTTACCTTCGTCATCCTAGAGATTAGCGGCGAGTCCGGCTGAAAGCTGGCGTTTCGATTCTGGTTCTGCGCGGATGGAGTTGCAGTTAGGAGACGGCGGCGGATGGCCGGCGATGGAGGTAAATCTTGCGAATCTCAATATTAGCAGTTCAGCAGCTGCTCGTGGTCATGAGCCGTTTCAACACGAGGCGGCACCACCAGCAGCAGCAGCAGCAGCAGCAGCAGCACCGCTACGAGTAACAGCAGCACGCAACGATGATGGCGGCGAAAGCCTTTTCCAGCGCCTGTCGCGCGAAGTTGAAGAGGCGGAGACAGAGGAGAAGCTGTATGACGCCATCGCGTCGTGCCTTTTCTTCGCCAACTCCACGTGCGATTGGCCCGAATCGGATGCAGACGCGGACACGCCACGAAGAAAGTTCGGCTTCGACATTGTCCGCGCCAGGCCGTCCGTCGAGGAGTCTCTCAGGATGCGCGACGAGCAGCGGGCGCGCAGGCGCACGGGCGTGCAGCACGCTCACGGGAGTGAGGAAGAGAGCGAGGAGTGTGGAGCGGATGGTAAGGCCGGCTGTCGTTTCGGCTGCTCCATGCCAACGTGCGTGGGTGGGTGGCTGCAGCCCTGGCACTCTTGAGACGTCTCAAAAGCCCTGCCACTCACCTCCCCAAGCTGCTCCGCCCCTGCGCACCCCGCCACGCGCATCCCCTTATGCCCTCCCCTCCATGCTCAACCCTACCGTTTTGTACCGGCAGGCGCGTTCTTTCTGCTGGAGCGGCGCAGCAGCGGGCGAGACAACGCCACGCACTGGAACAGCTTCAGCGGGCCCAGAAGCTACCCGCCCACCCGGGTCGCTGTGCCGCCCGCCTTCAGGACCCCCGACTTGATGACGCGGCTGCCTCCCAACAGACGGCAGAAGGATGGCTGGCCGTGCACCATGCTGGGTACGGTCCATGCTGGTCTCAATCCCGCTGGCCAAGCGGCAGCAGCGCAAGCGGCAACAGCGCAAGTGACATCTGGGCGATCGCCACGCTGGAAGGTCCGCCTTCTCCTTCGTCCTCGCTGTGCCCTTTCCTCCTCGCCCATGTCGCGCCTCTCGACTTGTTCCTCATCGTGCACCTCTCCCGCACCTCTCCCGCACCTCTCCCGCACCTCTCTATGTCCCCCGTTTTTTTATCCAAATTCCACGGATGGATTGAAGGAACTGCTGACCAATCTCTCCCATCCTTCCCGCTGTTTCTTCCCCAACGCTTTGTCGTCCAACGCAGAGGCGGCGCTCGACGGATCAGGTGGGCGTGTGTGAAGGGAGGTGTGAGTAGCGAGCAGGTGTAACATGGGTGGGGGGCATGCGGGTATCATGCATGTGCAATCACTCTTGCCGGACCGTTGTTGTTCAGGGTGTCTCCTCAAGCCGCTGCTTCTGTCTTTTCCCTCTGCCGGATCCCTTATCTCGCCACCTTATTTCCCCTTTCTGCTGTCATCTCCTCGTGTGTCCTGTCCCATGGTCCCATCCCATCCCATGCACGCCATGCAGCGCGCGGCCTGCCAGCCACCCTCTCTGAGCATGTGGAAGTACTACCTCGCCAATCCCCTCCCACTCTGCGCCCGCTCATGGCGCACGTCACCAGCCCCACTTGCGTGGGAGCCACAGCCGCCCTCGCCTGCAGCAGCACAGCGTGTGGCAGCGCAGCCAGGGCCATCATCGTCATCCCCGCCCTCGTCACCAGCAGGCTCGCCCACACAGTCACAGCCAGGCGATTGCGACTTTCAGCCCCTCACTCTCGTCTACATCGGTTATTCAAAGCTGTCGCCATCCCGCCGCCCTCCCGCGGCCGCTCCCACTGCAACCCCTCTTGCCCTTCCTGCTGCCGCTCCCGCTGCAACCCCTCTTGCCCCTCCTGCCGCCCCTCCCACTGCAACCCCTCCCTCCTGTTGTGCTTTTGTTGCAGCCGGTCCATCCGTTGTCCTTGCCAATACTCTTTCACTCACCTCGCCTGCTGCCGCCACACACATTCATGCCACCCATGATAGCACCGCCCCTGGCTACTCTTCACCCGTCTCCACGTCCCCCCACGGCACTGCACCCTTTTCCACCCCACTTCCCTTCCCTGCGCCTTCATCTTCTACGCTCCCCACACCGCCACCCCAGTCTTCTGCTCCCCCCTCCGCTGCGAGCCCCTCGTCTCACCCCCACTCCTGGAGCCCCCCTACCTGGACCTCCTTTGACTATTGCTCAGGCTCGCCCTCCCCAGGTGCCTGCCAGTGCCCATGCCACCTTTACGCCAAGAGGCTTTTCAAGAAAGTTTTGTCTTTCGTGGCGGAAAGAGTGCGAGGAAAGGGGATGGTGGGGGCGGAGGAGGCTAGGCAGGGTCAGACGAATGCGAATGCGAATGTGCATGGTTGGGCAAACGAAGGCAGGCGCCGTCTGTCAGAGAAGGATGTGGAGGATCTGAATGACATGCTGAAGAAGATGCGTGTTGACGACAACTCGAAGCTGCATTACATTTTCGACGGGAATGGGTGGACGCTTATCCATTCTGCTGCGCGCCAAGGGAACACACCTCTGGTGAGATTTCACATTCTTCAAAACGTCTCCTCTCTTTCTCTCCTTTCCTTCTGCTCCATGCCTCCTCCCCCCTCCTCTCCTCCCTCTCCCCTCGTCTCACTATTCCTCTGATTCTCTCCTCTCTATCGATCTGTTGCACTCTGTCCTTTCTGTCCCCTGTCCCTGTACATTTGCGATGGGCTGTGTACACTCACTTCCACCTCATTGCATGCCTTTCCTGTGTTAGTCCCTTGCATCCGTGCTCATTTTCTGCTTCTGCATGCATCACAGTGTCACTCGACGACCATCACCCAGCCAGCTTCGATGAGCTTCGATGAGCTTCGATTTGCACAGCATCCCACCCAAACCATGTGTCTCCAGCTGTAGGCAACACCCCACTGTGGTTTGCATGCAGGGGAGGAGGTTGGAGCGTGTGTGCGCATGATTCAAGGGATGTCAACTCTCCCTCCCACTTGCTTCCGTCGCTGCACCTCTGTATGTCTCTACAGCTGGAGGCGCTCCTGCTGCTGGGCATGTCAGTGGGGGAGCTGAGCGAAGACACCCTCACCACGCCACTGCACCTGGCAGTGCTGTCAGAGCATGTGGAGACCATGGAGCTGCTGCTCAGTCATGGCGCCGACATCCATGCTCGCACTAGATACGGCTGTGAGTCATGAGGAAACTAGCGGTAGCATTCATTCCTCTCCTGTTTCCGGCTGTTGCTTTTGCGTGAGCCCTCTTTTCAGCTATTAAGCAATCTCTTTCCTCCATTGCTGTCCCCGCCGTCTCCCTCCCCACTTCTCCCTGGTTCAGGGACTCCCCTGCACCATGCAGCCTTCTGGGGAAAATGGAACGGGGTGAGGTGGCTGGCGCAAAAGGGGACAGATCTCGCCAAGTCGCCGAGGCCGAACAAGCTGTCTGAGGATCGCATGGATCAGGCGGTGCGCATTGTGCGAGAGGTGCAGGCGAGGAGGGGAGAGCAGGTGGGGATGGGAGGGCACGGGGGGATGGGAGGGCACGGGGGGATGGGAGGGCACGGGGGGATGGGAGGGCACGGGGGGATGGGAGGGCACGGGGGGATGGGAGGGCAAGAGTGCGATGACGATGTTAGTCTGGTGGATACGTACATTAATCTTGACGCATGGCTGGGAGTGACAGCAATGGGGGTAACCTGAGGAGGTGGAATGGGCACACCAGTCCAACCCTCTGCTATGCAGGCTGACCGCACTTCATGACGAGGGAGGGGTAGATAATGAGGGGATACAACGAATAGTGTGTGTTTGGCTGGGTGTATTGTGGGGAATTGTAACTGCACTGTGTGAGCTAGTTTCTTGTAGCTATTATCTTTCCCTGGATGCACAATATCCATGAATGTGCTTTATCCTACCAACATCTTGTCAAGAAGGATCATGCAGCTTCACCCCACGTCTTTTTTGTTTTACGGTATGGGCCGTTGCTCTAAGGAAGTGCTGTGTGCAGGACACCTTCAGAGATCAGAGATCAATGTGTGCATAGTTCCTCGCGAGATAACGATTGGCCATCAATCTAACCTGCATTTTCATCCACAGCGCAGCAGCAAGATCGACAGAATGGCAGAAAGGCACACATGAATCACAAACAGCAAGAATGGCAAAAACCAAGAGGGGAAAGGACACAAACAGCCAATAACGATAGATGGCAGAAATCATAGACACGTTGCAGTCCTTACCTTGGGCTTGGATCCGGTGGTGAGAATGAGGGTCTGGCGGTGGGGTGGCAGGAAGGAGATGATGTAATCCATGGTGCGCCTGCGCTGTGAGTCAGGCTCACTCAGCACCAGCAGCTGTCATGCCGTCACAGTGATGATGGTGTGAACAGATGGCGTGGAGCAGGGGTGGCAAGAAATGAACAATATGTGAACATGGTTGGAAGTCGAAATGGCAAAGCAAACGAGGTAATGGCTAGGTCAGCACATTAGAGCACAATAAGCAGCAGAATGGCCTGCCTTGACCGAAAGCATTGTCTTGAGTTCCCCGACTTGCTATATTCTATTCACGTACCCTGATGTGCTGCAGCAGGGGTTCAAGGAACGCATGGCGCTCGAGATAGTCATTGATGTTGATGTATGGACATGCCATCACCTGCCATGGGAGGGCGCACGGACACACCGCATTGATGCTAGCCCATCATGGCATCATGAATGGCAATCAGGAATGGCAGTCATGAATGGCAATCACGAATGGCAATCAGGAATGGCAATCATGAATGGCAATCACGAATGGCAATCACGAATGGCAATCATGAATGGAAATCACGAATGGCAATCAGGAATGGCAATCACGAATGGCAATCAGGAATGGCAATCACGAATGGCAATCAGGAATGGCAATCACGAATGGCAATCAGGAATGGCAATCAAAGATGGCCATCAGGAATGGCAATCAGGAATGGCAATCACGAATGGCAATCACGAATGGCAATCACGAATGGCAATCACGAATGGCAATCAGGAATGGCAATCAGGAATGGCAATCAGGAATGGCAATCAGGAATGGCAATCAGGAATGGCAATCACGAATGGCCATCACGAATGGCAATCACGGGCATCACATTGCATCATTTGGTGCAATGACATAATCCAGGGAAAGACACGACTCCACTATATAGACAAATTTCACCTGCCACGCATGCACCTCACCTGCCATGAGTCCACTTCACCTGGCATGGATGCGTCTTCAGCTGCCCTCCTCCTTTCCGCACTTGCAGTATCTGAGCGTCCACCCTCACTGCATGCCCCACACCATCCCCCCTTGCTGCCTCTGCTCTGACTTGATCCACGCTGGCCCCAACCCCATGCTGCAGTTTAGACTGCTTCGCTATAAGCTGCTGCACTTGGCATATAAATGTACTGCAGGCAAATCTTGAAGGAGCCAGAAAGAGGACCTCTATGGAAGCGCCACTGGCTGGAAGATGCGGTGGTGTGCGGTGCAGAAGGGTGTGAAGGTGTGGCAACTGCTGGTTGGAAAGTGCGGGGTGATTGGGGACAGAACAGGAAGGATGAGGTGTTGCTTGCACGAGGTGTTGCTTGCACGAGGTGCAGTTTGAAAAATTGTGAAAGGGTCGAGGGTAAAGGCACAGACTTGAGATTGACTAATACTCGAAAAAAATTGGTTGAAAAACGGTACGTGAAGCAGTGCAGACAGCAAGAGTAGTGAGGAACAGGTGCAGGAAACAGCGCGCATGTTAGAATGGAGGCGTACGAAGAAAGAGGCAGCGTTGGGGAACTTGATGGAACTGGTCATGAGCACATCGCTGCCTGGCAGGTGGCACATGTTGCACGGGAGGGAGGTGGACGAGACAGGGGTGGAAGGAAGAGACAGGGGTGGAAAGAGTGAGTGCGGGGGTACCAGTAGTCCGGAAGTCAGCGGCAACCCCATACAAGATCGTCCCTTGAGCCATGCCGTACCACCATCCCTCAGGGCTCTTTGCAAGTCACATGGGAGCCATCGTGCCTTGCTCGCCCATGAAAGCCCTCTTCCACGCGCGGCGCGCTGCACTGCCCTCACACGGACGCCAGCCCGGCTGGGCATGCGCGCACCTGCTACCTGTAGAGGGCGTGGCCCTCACCCCATCCGAGTGACATGTTCCCCCCACCATCCCATGCGCCCACCATCCCATGCGCCCACCATCCCATGCGCCCACCATCCCATGCGCCCACCATCCCATGCGCCCACCATCCCATGCGCCCACCATCCCATGCGCCCACCATCCCATGCGCCCACCATCCCATGCGCCCACCATCCCATGCGCCCACCATCCCATGCGCCCACCATCCCATGAGCCCACCATCCCATGCGCCCATCATCCCATGCGCCCACCATCCCATGCGCCCACCATCCCATGCGCCCACCATCCCATGCGCCCATCATCCCATGCGCCCACCATCCCATGCGCCCACCATCCCATGCGCCCACCATCCCATGCGCCATTCATCACCGCAAGGGCATCGTCCGCGGCTGTCACAGCGCGCGCATCGCCACCCTTCCCGCCATCCCACCGCCTCTTCCTCGTTCGCTTCCCCCCATCGCCATCCCCTTCCGCTGACTGCCGCGCTCCGCCATCCGCGCTGGCTCGCTCTGCGCCGCGATTCAAGCGGCGCTTGCCTTGGTAAGCGTGCGCGGTGGGATCGAACTCCGCAGGCGACAGAAGAGACGGCTCCTCCAGTTGATTCCGCATCGCACGTTAAACCAGACGCTAGCGTGCGTGCCGCTCTCTCCACTCGTCTTGTGTGCCGCGAAGGAAGACACACGGTGTATGTGTTCTCACTCACGCGATGTATGCAAACACGAGCAGTGCCGGAACCGCTATTGGTATTCACCGCGTTAGACCATCACACGACCTGATAGCATATGTTGTGAATTGTGAAATGATGAGAATGACCTCCCAAGTATAATCTCCATGCATTCTCAGATCAGGTGTATGTGCATTCAGATGAGGTGCATTCCAAGTTGTAACATGGGTGACCTGACTGGTACTGCAAGTGTTGCATTGTCTGTTCATCTTGCCTCTCCCACCTCATGCGTTTGAACCACTGAGCTGTGGCAGCAGGCAATCATACATCATGGTGATCAAGCACAAGAAATTCATCCACCCAGCTTGTACCTACACCAACCACCTCCCCAAACCCATGCCCCATTTCCTCCCCCTGGCCTGCGCGCCTCGCATGCTCCTCCCGCACGATCTGCACCGCATGTGCCATGAGGTGAGCGGGCAGCTTGTCCGCCTTGGGGTTGGCCCCTGCTGCTTCCACCTCTGCTGGATCTATTCCCTGCTGCGCCAGCCTTCTCACTGCCTCCCACTGCTGCTGACTCGCTGCGTTGTGCAGCGGAGTCCCTGGGGGAAGGGGGAGGGCGGAGGGCAGAGAGCGGAGGGCGGATGGTGGATGAGAGAAGACGGAGGGAATTAAATTGGAGGAAAGTGGCTCTGGAAGCCAGAGCAGTTCAAGCGGGGTGCAGAGGGCACCTCAGGGTAGAGAGCATGAAGTGAAGAGGGCAAGGAATCTGGGTGGAGAAAAACAAGCGAAGCAATCATTAAACCAATCATGCACTCACAGCCGCCAGCAGTGCGAGCGTGGACGTCAGCCCCGTGCTGCGCCAGCAGGAGCATGCAGTCCACGTGGCCGCCATACGCTGCCACGTGCAGTGGCGTGGTGGCGTTGCCTTTGCTGCACACCCCCACCGGCATGCCCATGCGCAACAGCGCCCGCAGCTGCAGGCAGGTGGAAGGGAGAGCCGCAGGTAGGGAGAGAAGCGGGCAGTTGAGTGAGCGCAGCGCATACCTCTGCCACATGGCCATGTTTGAAAACACATGCGAGTGCAGACACGTGCACGGAGCGGGATGTGTGCACACGCATGATGGACAGTGGGTTGAGTGGGCTGCATGGGTGCGTGTGGGCAGGCACGACGTGCCTGGGACTGACCACGGGGGAGTCACCAAGGCGAGCAGCCACGTGCATGGCGGTCCATCCCCTCTCATCCACCACGCCACTCAGCTCCCCTGCTGACTCCACCCCGCATGCCCGCACCACACGCCACAGCCCCTGCCCCTCCTCCTCCCCACTGCGTTCCCCACTGCCTTCCCCACTGCCCTCCGCACTACCGTCCCCACTGCCACTTCCCCCAGCTCGCCCCGCCAGGAACGCTTTGACGTGAGAGTACAGCTCCCTTGCGTTGACCGTGGGAGTGAGAGTGGCAGGCGCTGCAGCGGATGCACGCAGGGCGGTGGGGGCAGCGGGAGGGGCGAGAGAGGGGAACGCGGGGGGGGTAGAGGTGGGAGGTGGGGCATGGGAGGGGGCGGCGGAGGAGATGAGTACGAGGGAGAGCGGCTGGCAGAAGCGGTGGGTGGGCGCTGCACTCTCTGCCATGGCCGCTGGGGAGGCGGAGAACGATGGGGAGTGCGGCTGTGACCCTGAGGGGGATACTGCCATCGGTTGTTGCGAGCCTGCTGCTGTCACTGCCTGGGGTTGCGACCCTGACGGTGACACAGACATGGCCGCTGGTGATTGGGCGTGTGTGCGTGAGAGCGATCGAGAGAGGGGCTGTGGAGGAGGGGGTCGGTGCGACAGTGGGTGGTTGAGCAGCAGGAAGAAGCGCCTGGCCCTGAGATTGTGCAGCTGGGCGCAGCGACGAGGGGCGAGGGTGGACAGCACGGCACGAGCGACACGGGAAGTACCGTGTGGGTGAGTCTAGGTGGCAACTGAATGGGGAATGGGAAAGGGGCAGGTGAACGCATGCAGGCAAAGGCATGGGAAGGCGGGCACAGCACGGCATGGTACTGACAGGGTCCCTCTAACATGCGCTCTCACCTGCTCTGCTTCCTCCTGCCTGTGCTGCCGTGCCAACATGCCGCCTTGTGACCGCTGCCTCTGCGACAGGCGGGATGGGGGATGGGAGGGATGGGGGATGGGCAGGTAGGGGATGGGCACAAGGATGGGGAATGGTGGCAAGGCTGGGGGATGGATAGGATGGGGAATGAGGAGGACGATAGTGGTGGAGGGGTGCGAAGGGCGGGCGATTGACAAGGCGAGCGCTGTGCTGTGAGGCGCACCTTAGCAGTGCGGTCGATTTGTGACGATGCCACCTCCACCTGTATGGGGAAGGGGACGCGCAGGCCCGCAGGCAGCAGCGGGCAGAGAGCAGCAGGCGAGGCAGCGGTGGCGGAGACATGCGAGCTGCCCTGCGGCCCGCAGAAGCCCCTCCATGGCGTCGCCGCTGCGCGCCGCCTGCTGCTGCTGCTGTGCTCCATCAGAAAGAACGTGTCTGGGGGGGGGGGAGAGGGAGGGTGGGGAGGATGAGGCAGCGAGCGGACATGCGGGAGAGCTTGTTTGGGGGAACGACAGCGCGCCTCACATGGGCTGGACGCGAGGGGATAGTGAAACAGCGAAGGCGGCAGCAGCGGGGGGGGGGGGGGGTGGGGAGGAGTTGGCAAGCAACTCATGGAACCCACGCCAGCGCTACCTGCTCCTCTCCTGCTCCTCCACTGCTGCCCCACCTCGCCCCTCCCCACGTACCTCCCCCCCGTCATCCGCAAACCATGGCTTGCCTCGGAGCTGAAGCGACTCGGCGGCGCACGGCATGCTGCGCAGCACGCGGAAACCGAACGCCTCCCGCGACCGCGGCTCCTCGGTCTCCGGCCAGTCGCAAAGCGCGTTGGCGATGAGCAGACAAGTCGCGATTGCGTCGTGCTGCTGCGACAGCGTCGCGGCCGTGCGAATCGCGTGGTCGAGGTCGCGCGCGAGCCCGTCGAAGCTTCTCAGCAGGCGCGCGTCGATGGCTGCGCCGATGGCGGGCGGCGCACGGCTCCCGCAAATCTCCTCGGCTGTTCGCGGCGAATCCGATTCCGCCGCCTCGGCCTCGGGGTCCGGCAGAACGCTTCTCTCACGGCTCGCCGCCATTCTTTGGCGCGCGCGACCTTCGCGATGCTGTCGTCACGAATCGGTGAGCGCGCGGGGCGAGCTGGCAAGAGCTAACAGCGGAATTGCCGGGCGCGGGGAGGGTACGAAGGAAGCCCGTTGAAATGGACACGATCGCGATCAGACTAGCCAGTTGGAAAATCGCGTCTTCGTAGGCGATGTCTGTGCGGCCGCAAGGACAGGAGACAGTACTCAAGGCTCGCAATCGCAACCGTCACTGCTCGGAGGTAGCCGGGCAACAAAGGCCCGTTTGGAAATCCCCATGCATGCCTGCATGGCGAATCCCGCCTTGTTACATCCTCCCTGCGCCCTCCCTGCTCCTCCACTCGTGTGTGGTGGTTGATTAGCAAGGCGCAAAGCAGCGGGTCTCGGAGCATCTGTGGCGGTGAGAGTGAGGAAGACGAGGAGGAGCCGTGAAGCGCCAGCGCGCCGTTTATGTGCTTCAACCAGCAATGTCACACGGCTCGCTCCGCCGCGGTCGTGCGCCTATGGTTTGTTTTAGGCCCGGTTTATCACGTTTGGTCACGGGGGCGTCACGAACAGTCACAGTACACTTCGTAACTAACGGTTGTGATAGTCACACCTTGCCCCGCAAGTCTATCACGTTTGGTCACAGATGAAACGCCCAATCTAAGATTGTAACTACTCAAGTCACTATTGGGATTCAGGAGAAATTTTATTGTGCGCACCGTTTTGTCCGTAGTGTTGCGAGACTCTGTTACCTACGAAATATTTTCGCGACCAATCTCGTTAACTCGCTAAAAACATCTGAAAGTTAGCTCATTGTTCAGTGTTAAATTGTACACTATTCGATTGATGCATAATGTCCCTAAAAATATCACGTTTAGATGGGTGAAACTCGAAGGTTATTTCTACTTCCCAAGAAAAAAAAAAGCTAAAACCCATTCGGATGGGATTTCCTTCGGGAGGCATCAACCCTAAACACCTTGTCGCAAGGTGTTTAGGGTTGACGCCTCCGAAAGGCGTGCCATCCTTTAGGGTTTTTTTTTTCCAGTCTCCTAAATGTCAGGCTAGAATCATGCGCAAGGTAACACGCAATCAAGATCGGAATTTCCCCAAAACTTTACAGTTTCTTTTGTGGTTTCGCATTAATTATGCTCATTTCATCATGTGACCAAACATGGCAGCTTTTCGGGGCGAGGTGTGACCATCCGTGATAGCACTGTGATCACCCGCGATAGAAATCTACTGTACTGTGACTGTTCGTGATACCCCTGTGACCAGACGTGATAAGACGGGCAGAATTGTGACTGCCCGTATAATTTCCCTTTGTTTACGGTTCTGACCTCGGCCTTAGGGCGTGGAACATTTGAAATGATTTCCAAATGTTACGAGTGCAATTGAGCGGGGAGCGAGAAGTGCACTATCGAAGCAAAACAATGCATCGAGAAAAGGCATGAGCGACGAATATACAGCGAAATTAGCGAAAATGTGCGAAAATGTGGTGCGCTACGGGCCTAGCGCCGAGGTTGGGAATTGTCGAGGCGGAGGTCCGGAGCGCGGGTTACCAACCGAACCGTGAGGTTGGGTCGCGTCGTAAACAGAGGCGGGAACAATTGTCGAGGCGAGTGTCGCGAGTGGTAACGGTGCTCTGTTGGGAACTATTGGCGAGAAAAGTGGTGTACACGTTGAGCAAGGATGCGAAGTAAGGGAAAGGAATTTTCCTTACACTCCCCCCCCCCCCTAAGGAGGCCCTCCTTACTTTCGCACGTGTACGTCCCGGAAATTTCGGTTGCGCAAGTACTCGGCGAGGACAGGGTGGTTCTCGATTCTGTCCAGGGGAGCCCAGTTGTCTTTGGTGGGCGTGCGGTCTTTCCAGCGGATCAGAAATTCGATCTTGCGAGCTCCTCGTGGGTCACGAACGCGATGGCTTAAGATTTTCTCGAGCGTGATGATTGGCTCTGTGGGTGGTCGTGTCATGCTGGTTGGGCGGTTGCAAGGCAGCTACCTGGTGGATGGTACATATGGGCGAAGCAGGCTGACGTGGAATGACGGGCTAACGTACCAGTCAGCCGGGAGGAGGAGGTGGGCGGTAACGAGGGTAATCATGTGGCTGATGCGAAATGGCCAGCAATATCGAGGGCGGAATTTTGGGGTGAAGGGCAGGCGTAGGTTCTGGGTGTCGAGTAGAACAAGGTCGTCGGTCTGGTAAGTGATAGGTCGGCGGTGGCGGTCGGCGTTGCGTTTAGCGATGATGTTTGATTTTTTTAAATTGCGTCCGCTGCTCTGGTCCGTGCTACCTGTAAAATGTATGCGAATTGTTGTGCGCGGGGCACCGGATTGTTGGGATTCGGGGTCATGGGTACTGTGGGGTCTTGTCCGTAGTTCAGGTAGAAGGGTGACAGTTGTGTCGTGGCTGATGGGGAGTTGTTGTACGCGAATTCGATGAGTGGCAGTTGCTGTTCCCACGTGGTCGGGTCGTCGCACGTGGCTCGGATTAGCTTTTCCATGGTCTGGTTTGTCCGTTCTGTCTGTCCGTCAGTTTCGGGGTGGTACGATAAATTGAACTGTAGTCGCGTGCCGAACTGCTGCCACAGGTTCCGCCAGAAGTTGCTGGTGAATTTCGTGTCGCGGTCGCTGATAATCGCTGCTGGTATCCCCTGCAGTCGAACGACGGTGGAGATGAAGAGCCGGGCTGTTTCTTTGGCTATGATTGACTTCTTGTAGGCTGCAAAATGTGCCATCTTCGTCAGTCGATCGACGACGACCAGGGTCGCGTCTTTCCCACTTGCTCCAGCCGGTAACCCTGTGACGAAGTCCATCGTCACCTACTGCCAAGCTTGCTCTGGGGGTGGTATCGGCTGCAACTGTCCTGCCGGCCGCTTCCGTGATAACTTCATTAGTTGGTAGATGGGGCACGATGCCATGTGTCGTTGCACGTCGGTCAGCATCTCTGGCCAGTAGTATTACCGCTGCAGCTTCTGCCGTGTTTTTTCTTCTCTGAACTGTCCTGAGGTAACCCCGTCGTGTGTTTCCTGCAGTAACAACTCCCTGAGTAAAGTGTAGCCCAGTACCCAGATGCGATCGGTGCCGGCTTTTACGTAATAAACCCGCTTTGCTGCTTCAAACTCCTGCGAGTTGCGTCCGGTAAAGAACGGGTTTGTCTTATAACCGTGGGTAAATATTCCTGTCAGTAGCGGGCTGGTCTGGGCGAGTAGTATGGCGCGTATCTGGGCAGTTGGGCGGGTCAGTGCATCAGCGATGTTTGATGCCCCCTTTTTTGTAGGTGACCGTGTAATGGAAATTGGACTCAAGGAAGTCGAGCCAACGAACCTGCCGTGGGTTGGGGTGGGGCTGTGCGCGGAAGTACTGTAGTGATTTATGGTCTGTCCGTACTGTCACGTCTGCGCCGGTCAAGTAACAGCGCCACACTTTGAACGCGTGCACGATCGCGAGCATTTCGCGGTCGTGTATCAGGTAATTGTACTCGGTCGGATGCAGTTTCCGTGATTCGTATGTGATGGGCTGTAGGCCGTTGCCGATTTTTGTAACAGTACAGCTTCGATGGCGATGCCACTTGCGTCTGTAACTACTTCGAATGGGCGGTGTGGGTCGGCAATGCGCAGGACGGGCGGTGAACAGAGAACAGTTTTCAGGGCAGAGAAGGCAGCATGCTCTTTCTCCCCCCACGTAAACGCCAATCCATTCCGCAGTAAATTCGTCAGTCGCACCATGCCGGGGACGAACCGATGAACGTAACTGACGAACCCTAAAAACTTTGTAATGCCGTGATATTGGTTGGGGGGCGCCACTCTTTTACCGTATGTAACTTTTTTCGGGTCAACTTTGACTCCATCCTCTGTATTGACGTGCCCCATAAATTCTCGCCAGTCCTGATAAAACTCGCACTTCGAACCCTTGGTCAGTAGGCGATTTTCGTCTAAGATTTTAAACACCGCTTCTAGATTGGCTAAGTTTTGTTGCTTGTCGTGGCTATACCAGGATGTCGTCGAGGTAAACTATCACGCATTTATCTAAAAATGGCCTAAACGCCTCGTTCAAGGTCATTTGAAAAGTCACTGGTGCGTTGGTCAGCCCGAAGGGCATCACGGTGTACTCGAATGACCCGTACCTAGTTCCAAATGACGTCTTGGCGCAGTCCGATGGCTCGACCCTAATCTGATGGTAGCCTCCCCGCAAATCTATTTTCGAAAAAACCCGTGTTGTTCGCAGTTGGTCTATCAGTTCGTCGGCGTGAGGGATGGGGTACTACGACTTTACTGTTACCCTTTTCAATGCGCAGTAGTCGATGCACATGCGAAACCCTCCGTCTTTTTTCGGTGTGAACAGTATCGGTGCGGCGAACGGTGACGAGCTCGGTCAGATGAACTTTTTATATGACAGGTAATCTAATTGCTTCCTCAGTTCCTCTCGCTCGGGCTGTGTCAGTCTGAATTGTCGCTGTACGGTTGGCTGTACCCCCGGTTCTAATTCGATTTGGTGGTCATGTGCTCGCTGAGGTGGCAGTTCCTCCGGTAAATCGTCCGGAAAAATCCACGGGAACCGTTTCAGTAAATCCTGTAGTACGGGCGGTACAGATGCTAACAGTTTCTGAAATTCGCTCGGCTCCTCTACTTCTTCCACCGCCACGTTATCTACTACGTACACGTCAGCTCTAGCGACGACAACCCGTTTCATCGTGATGGCGTTGACGTGGACCGTTGAAGACTCGGGCGACTGCCAGCGAGGTAGCTGGACCTAGTTACCACTACTTAGCACAGTGCAACTACCCATCGTCCAGTCAATTCGCGGGTTGTAGCGTCGCAGCCAATCACGTCCCAGTCAAATATCGTGCCCATCCAACATCGTCGCGAGCATTTCCTGTGTAAACCCGAAGTTCCCCCCGCAACGAAGTTTCACCCTCTCCACCTTTTCCCGTGTGGTCAGCGGTGTGCCGTCAACTAAGCGTGCGTCGATCTCCGGTAAGCAGTGGCTAAGTGTCAGTTGCAGTTTCCGTGCGG